GTGTACGACAACGCGGCTGATCAACGTCTATGGTAGGCATGACAGGTACAATAGGCGCAGATGCTAGTAAACCATTCATGGGGACCCTTGGGCTAAACTGCGCACAGGAATGCCTGTACGATCCCGACATTTACAACACTGCTGCTTTTGCAACTCGACTTATCATTTCTGCGATAGAAACCATGCTTGCCGGTAAAAGTGTCCTGATCGTATTCAGAATGCAGTTCATGGTGAGCCTGCCTCGCCCTTCATCTTCAGCACAATTCTGCAAGCGTTTCTTTTGCAGTTTCCAGTCAACAGAATTCGCTCAAAAGCGTTCGTTCTAGTAACATACACCGAATCGTGTCGTGTATGACTAGCTGGAATGATTAAGCCCATCACGAATTGCGCGCGTTACCTACTCTCCAGCCTGAAGTTGTTGCGAAGCCTTGGATATATGTCTTGACAGCTGAGCCAAAACGAGACGGTAACAGTTTTGCTCGGGCCCTGCTGGCTCTTGACAGTACGTTGGCCCTACCTCGCGATTCGCACCCTGAGTTTCCAGCTTGCCATCAAGATCAAGAATATCATTATTGGCAAGGATCCTCCCTAGCAATGCTTCTTGTTATGTATGTAGTAGTATGATTATGAACGCCTGCAAGTAGCAATCTGCCCATCTTGGCTATACTGCCAGTGGACTCGTGCTCGTGTTGTCGACAGCATTACCAATGCAGTTATCTGATGTTTCGCTGCCTGGCTAGGGTTGCTGGCCTGACTGTGTATGATCATGAGTTTGCGACTCATTCCCTAAACTCAGCTGGAAGGCTTTTCCTGTGACAAGCTCGGCCGCGGATGGCTGCACTGAAATTTGGGAGTCTCCAAAACAGAGGAATTTCCTGTGGAGATCCCTTTGCAATCATCCTGCCGGGTGATCCGGATCTGGATGTGACACTTGACGCTTTTCATCTCCGGAAATTGAAATCTGCAGGCACCTGCAGTGCAAGCCAACCTGACCTTTCAATCACTCCGTTATCTTCAAGGTGCTAGTACATATGAGATTCAGGTGCAATTGCCAGAATTGTACGATCTACGCACATCCGATGGCACCGCAGCTAGCCCGCGGAGCACCCATATGAAAGCGAACAGCTTTCCTTCCACCAGTTCACTTGCGAAAACATGTGCAGAACCATTGAAGAGCATCTGTCAAGTAGCTGGTCTGTTGCAAAGCTTTTTTTCTGCAAGCTGGAAGCTCAGGCTGCAATCTCAAAAGTCTGCTAAGTCTGTGTCTGATTGGCAGTTTCACTCCCATGGCTTCCTAGCAGAGCAGCAAGAAACTGCAATTTCAGCACTAGCCCAGCATGTTTGACCTCGATTCACTCTGGACGCTGTAACGCTCTACTGTCGTTTGGCATCGCTGAGCTTTCAAAGTTCTAAAATCTGAGGGACGCCTCTGCAGTGTGCCCGGCTGACCGTATTTGCAAGTAGGCACTACTGGCATTCCGTCTGGAAGCACTTGAGGACTCGGGCACATCTGCAGGTGTTTCAGGGAATGCCTAAGTCCTATGCGCAGGCTGCTGTCTCCAAGTGGGCCCAGCGAAAGACTTCTTTTCAAAGGGCCTGCGCCGCAGCAGACAAGCATATAAAAGAGTTGATCCAGTGGGAACCTTGTCTACCCTGTCAGCTAACGGGATATGTGGTTGCGGCGTGCAGGCAAGGACCTGTGTAAGGCAAGTGCTGCGCAGAGAATTTGGTCGTTCGTGCACGCACCTACTTTCAGTTGGCAACCTCCATCCATGCTATTCTGAAATGATTCTTCATTTATCTCAGGTGGAAGCTGTAAGCCTGTACTGTGGATCTTCTAACATCCCATCGTGACGTGGAGTGGAGACTTGACTGTGGTTGTTTCGCAGCGTGGTGCGGATGTTTCACCGTTCCAAAATCTGAGGGACGCCTCTGCAGTGTGCCCGGCTGACCGTAATTTGCAAGTAGGCACTACTGGCATTCCGTCTGGAAGCACTTGAGGACTCGGGCACATCTGCAGGTGTTTCAGGGAATGCCTAAGTCCTATGCGCAGGCTGCTGCCTCCAAGTGGGCCCAGCGAAAGACTTCTTTTCAAAGGGCCTGCGCCGCAGCAGACAGGCATATAAAAGAGTTGATCCAGTGGGAACTTTGTCTACCCTGTCAGCTAACGGGATATGTGGTTGCGGCGTGCAGGCAAGGACCTGTGTAAGGCAAGTGCTGCGCAGAGAATTTGGTCGTTCGCGCACGCACCTACTTTCAGTTGGCAACCTCCATCCATGCTATTCTGAAATGATTCTTTATTTATCTCAGGTGGAAGCTGTAAGCCCGTACTGTGGATCTTCTAACATCCCATCGTGACGTGGAGTGGAGAGTAGACTGTGGTGCCAGACATGCTACGCACATGCTGCACATATTCTTGTTCCGCAGCGTGGCGCGGATGCCAGCGATGCGCCGCTGCCATCGCAAGCTGCAAGCATACGGCACAAAAAGATTCTGCCGACAATCTGGAGGGTAAAAGGGCCCTGTTCCAAAAGTCTATGTATGCTCAAGTGCGCTCCCTTCAAGTTCATAGGGGATCTTGGCACGTTCCAGAGAAGGTTTGATGACTTCCTATGGGGAAGGGTTCGGAGGCTTTGAGTTGCCGTTTCACGTGACTTGTACTTGCAGTGCTGCCCCTGATCCCCCCATCCTCACAAGACAAGCTCCATGGCAAGATCCTAAATCAACCGTCGCAAGTCCAAATTCCATATCTTGGAGGCAAACGGGTTCTGGTTCACGACATAGCATAATGTTTGGATCGGATTGGAAAAGGGTGTCGTACTGGAGCGAAATTAGGCTTGAAAAATGGGTACGGATTAGAGCGCAACTTGGCCTCAACGGATTAATAAAAACACAGGCACGGAATCATTTCATGCTCTGCTTTGCAAGTCCCAAAGAAAGAAACAAGAAACACAGAGAAGAGAAGCCAGAGAAGCCAGCCAGTCTGAGTCTAAGCAACCGAAGCCCTAATTAGGTAGTAACTGGTACTGTAAAAAGACTGTGATTCGAGTCAAATTAAGCTCCCCAAGGTCCTGTGATGCGAGGTACCTTTCTTTTCTTATTGCTAACCTGAATTCTTACCAAGAACACACACATGGAATTGAAGATTGGAGCCTTCCCAGAAACCATCGATTTTTAATGAGACCGCTTATTCGAACACCCCAGGCAAACATTCCTGTTAAGGGGTACTATACCGAGACCGCCGGAACGGAATAATAGCCATTAAAGAGCGTACGGAATAATCAGGGCCCTGGCAGGCATGGACCCCAGAATCTACAAAAGAAGAATATAACATCTAAATGCAGCAAAGTGCTAAACCTTAGGTGGATCTCAAACCTAAATGATTTAAGTAAAGCGTTTGGCCGGAAACAAATTCCATTCCGATTCTCAGGTTTTGAACACGCTAAAAACTATCGATTTCTTATACGACCGCTTATAAGAACAGCCCAGGCAACAATTTGTTAGGGTTCAGGGTTATAGGTACAGGGTTTAGGGTTCAAAGTTCAGAGTTTTGGGTTTAGAGTTTAGTGTTGGGACCCCAAACAAGTTTGACGAAAGGTTTTGGGCGACCCCGGAATGTTCACAATCCTTACTTGTTAGGGGGGGGGGGTTGATAATACGTACCCGGCACTAATCACAAAAGACTCCGCTTTAGTGAAAGAATGAGTGGAGTTGAAACAACATCCTATTCTCAAGCAAAGGGAGCAGATTGCGGTATGGAGCTGGTGTTTTTGCGGCATAGGTGAATTCCCGACACCGCAAATATGAGCTAGACTTCCCTGAGCTATCGTAGTTTGTTAGTACTTAGGGGAGGGTGAGATCTGAGGCGAGGGGGCACAAGGAAGGAAAAGTTGCGGCGAAGCGGCGAAGTGCAAGGGATGTTGTTCATTGCTGGCGTCAAAGATTGGGCTGCTTTGAAGTACGCGCAGAGATAGTCATCTTGTCTGAGTTTTAAAGCAGCTAGGTTTTCGCTTAGGAGCGGACTCCCTGTATCAGATGATGAGACCAAGCACCAAGATGATGAGAAACCCTCATGATCGAAAAGCACGTGCGAATATCAGATTCAGGTGACATGCGTGCACACCGCCTTGGCCCTCTAGCAAATCACGAGCATGATGCGCGTCACTGCATGCCCCAACCAGAACATGGATGGCATGGTAATATGTCCTGCATTGACATCAAGAAGTGACAATTTCTTGGGGCAACGTAGGTCTGCGACGCCAACGGTCCTTGCCGCAGAACAACGGAGGACTATTCCTCCACCAGGGCAGACCTCCTTTCCACGCGAGGCTTGCAGGCCCTACTCAAAAAGCCTTTTGCATATCGCATCTTTTTCTTTGCTGCGTGCACCATGCACCTGATCAACTTGTGCTTGATTCCAGGCCTCTCATCAACCCCACAGCGCTAGTCTTGAACCTTGCGCTCTATTCCCTTTACAGCCGGCGGTCACTTAAGCACGCAGCTGAAGCCGGAAAGTGCTTCTCAAAAAGACACCCTGGAAAGAGCCCGTTCATCAGTTGCAAACGCAACGAATCAGGCTCCTTCGTTTGTATGCTTCGAGGCATTTGGCACACGCATTTGAAGGAAAAGCCCAACCACGCGCGACTAAGAAGTGCGGAGTGCTTGTTCGATTTGTCTTCAATCCTGCCTAATATCGTATGGTCCGTATGATGGTTATAGAGCACATAAGTTGCCAAGCTGCAATACTGTAATAGAGATGCTTGAGGCACTCCGAGGACGTTCTAGGGTTTGTAAGGTCTTTCCCGATATAGCTTGCTAGCTCCGACAAACCTCAAAACACTAAATCTTCAACCATAAGCCTCAAACCGACAGCCATAATCCTTATGACTTACTGATGGTATGTAGGGAGCAAGGGAATATAATCCCAACATAGTGTGTTCCATTATTCCCTACTAGCCACAGGTAGGAAAAGGGATGCTCCAACGTCTGTGTCTCACCAGGCCGCGGCCCGCTTGTGTGGACTACATCTTGTAGGTCCGTTTCGGCGTCAGGGTCTCTAGGGAGGTTTCCAAAATTCGGGGCCTAAGATTTATAGTATTTTTGGGTCTATATAGGGGTCCCCCTATTTTCGGAGACTACCAATAAAGCTTAGGGTCTCCTCAAGGGGCCCGTGCTTTTTTCCTGAGTGCGAAGTACTGGCCCGTGTTTGGGTTAATGGGTAGGAGGGCAACATGGCTTCTCCCTAGCTGATGCGTAGTCTGCACTGAATATGTAGTTTTTTTTGTGAGAAGTGTTTAAACAGTGGAGATAGTAGAAATGCATGGGTGGCTACACAGACTAGTGATGTCCCTACATGTCACCTAGAATTCCTACAGCCCATGCCGTTGCCTCAGTTGAGTTGAAGGGCTGGCTTAGCACTTCAAGGTTTTGAGTTCCGCTTGGCAGCGAAGCGGTGGTGACGTTCATTGGAAATCAAATTGCAATTCTTCGCCTGCTGTCTGCGCTGTTCAACCTGTTTTTTGCCACGGATCCGTCAGAAAACCTGAGCAGGAAAGCGCTCAAGCGATGACCAGACTGTAACTTACAGTGGATAGCACTAGAGTTTAGTAATATGTTTGTCTTAATCCTTATAAACATTATGTAACCCTATGATCCCCATAGCTTCCATTTTATTTTCCATTATATATAACCCCACTGTAACCCGAGAGGGTGCCTGAAAGACTGCTGATATTTTGAAAACGGCCCAATAGTATTGCTAGTATTATTATGGCTATTATTGCTTCCTTCCTATGCGCGAGAGTCAGATGGCTTCTGTCTCCATCACGACAGAGAGAATGACGTGTCCAGCAGTGACTCAGCCCAACAGTGCTATGGCCGTAAGCCAAGCTATGTACAACGCAAGTGAAGCAAAGCTCAGATTCAAGTACCTGATCAATGGAGCTTGAACAGTGACCATTGCAACAGAGCAGGACTCCTCAAGAACCACACCTTTGTGCAGTGAATATCCGCTCGCCGTCCAGTCAAAGATTCTTGAAGCTCATTGACTCCAAAGCACCCGGTCTTCAGTGTGTAGCAAGTTGAGCGACCTGATGTGAAAAGCAATCAAGAGGAAGCGTGTGCCTGTCGGCAGCATAGCGCAGTGCAGAGCTTTAGGATTGAACTTGACAAAGGAAGGCTCCACCCTAATCAAATCACCCTGGACGCCGTCAAAAGGGTAGGAACCGTTGCGATTTTCGCACCAAATCAGTCCATCATCAAAAGCACTGAGAGGCACTACCATATTCACTGAGCCGTGGTAGTTATTGGCATCGCGATGCCTCGCCGACTGCACATTGAGAACCAAGCTCATGGAGGAGTAGAAATGGCCCGGATCCAAACTCTGCACCACTGACGCAAGCAAAATGGTGACTGCACTGTACCATGAATGAAGGCGCCCGCATTGAAGACACTTGAAAACATGTCCTCCGAGCTCTGAATACCGGCCTGAAAAGGAGCGCGTCTGCGAGGGCAAGATCTCCATAAACCTACGCAAATCGGTTCCAGTCACCCGCTGACTTCGAAGAAGCTCTGATGCAAAAGCCTCTGCCTGACATTGTCTGGGACAGGAACAGGTGTGTTATGCACCGTAGCTGCCAGACTGAATCCAAACTCACGCGCTTGCACTCGCACCGGGGATGGCGACTACCCTTCAAGACTATCACCTGCGCAACTTCCGCCGGGAGTGTCACTTTTTTAAAATGTTAGTGCAGGACTCTGTGCTTTCCCAGCAGAACGAGGGCTCAGATTCGTCAAGGTTCTCTGCGCCTGGAGCTGCTACACCAAGATTCTCATCAGCCTCAGGATGCTGGATAATGCCAGCAGGATTTTGCGCATGTGCCAGCGCTGATCCATAGCTCGGTCGTTATTTTCTGCATGCAGGAGCGTGGATCCACCTAGCAAATTTGACAGAGTTGCGTTTCAGCGTACTGCAAGACTGAACTTCAGCAAAGTGTGTGCTCAGCCAAAACCCGTCCAAAACTTCCACGAAGAGGACCAACCAGCTCGAAACTAGCTAAGGCACTTGGAGATCTGTACAGCAAGATTTGAGCGCTGGGAGCGATCTCGCTTTAGGGTGCATCCACGGAGCTGCATCGCGCTTGAGTTGCAAAGAGCACCAAGGTGGAGACAAAGAGTTTGAGCACTCTCAATGCAAACGCCTGTTTGTAGCAGAAATATTATATTGTCTCCTGAGATGGTTTCGCTCATGGCGCGGCACATACTTTCTAAGTTCCTTCCCCCTCTTGCATCTTCGTCATAGTCATTCCATTGGAGTACCGAAGCTTGATTGTAGGGGTGAAAGGCTTAGGGGAGACCAGCTTAACAAATCCATAGAACGCTTTGCTGTCACCTCTTGACGAGGCAGCCTCAATTTGCCGTAGACCTTCAAAAAGCCTCTCCCTCTTCGTCGCCCGACAGGCCTTTTTGAGCTCTTGATGCGCGCTCTGCTCCCTGGAATGTAGCGCCAGTGAGTGTTTGCTCCGTCCAGTTGTCGCAGGGCAGGTAAGCCAGACGACAAGGACACTCACGCAGTGCTCTGCGCCTCAGCTCTTGTACCGCCTTTTCCCTCCGTGGAATTTCAGCTTTTGGGCCATTTGCTGCCTTTGCAAGGCTGGCCTGCCTGCCTCCACGGCTGCCATACTGAGCGTAGGTTGCACTCAAGAGCCAAGAGCCAAGTGACCAGAGCTGCGCCGCTCAGCTAGTCTGGCTTTCTTGACCTCACTATCAGCAACCTGCTGCAGCGCAACCAAAAAGTCAATCTGCGTGCTCTCTGTGGATGTTCGTATGCGGTTTGTCTTTTACCCCAAGTGTTGAGGACCGTCATCCTGTGCTTGCCGAAGATTTCCAACAGCTGCAGTCTTTCCTGGTCAGCATCCAGCTGAGAAGTGTGCGGAAGGACGCCATAACCCACAACCGGGGCCTGAGGTGAGAGACCAAGATTGACGTCACCTCCTATAGCATGGATCCTTGCGGCGTTGCTGTCAGAGTTTTGTCACGAGCCCTCCAAAGCTTCGCCCTCTTAAGCTTCGCCCTCTTCTATATCAGCTTCCCCCTTGCTTCAGCTGTGCCAGGAGCTATTGCATGCTGACACAAGGAGGCTACATCCCCTTGCTCACCACCCAATTGCAAACGCACTCGCAACAGTCTCTCTTGAACCACTTCTTGCCACTGTACTTCGTACAAGGTTAACTGAGAGGTCCTCAATGCAACCATGACCCCATCCTGCCGCTTGCGGGACGAGGCGCTGTGGACATAGGTCCATCCGCTCTTTTCCCACTCACCTGACGTGGATCAGTGCGTTTCCTGAACCATTGCTATGTCCGCCGCACAGATCTCAAGGTATTTCTCAAGCTCAGCAGTGCCCTCAGCGGATAGGCCTCCAGCATTCCAACAAAAACCCTTGCTCCGAGGGACCCTGCGCTTGAGACGAGTACGTGCCGGAACCTTGACTCGCTGCCCATCTGGATATAAAATTCTGCCTCGCTGGTAGCATGGTAAACGATAGCGGATACTCTCGTTGGCAGAATGCAAGTAACTCTTTAAAGGCTGCTGCAGGCAAGATCTCCTGGATACTTGACATGACCACATCGTTTGTTCCTCCACTCCATAGTTGTCTTGCGAGCTCATCTGCATCTGCACGTGCCGCCTCTGACACGCCTTCGATCGACAGCTGCACCGTCAGTAGTTCCCTGGCACGGACTCGCGCGTGCGCAATGGGTGTCAGTTCGTCTGCCATGGCAACGGGATTCAACGGGCTCCCACTATTTTCGAGCACTCGTTGCGCTTTACTACTATTACGATTATTATTGTTAGTACTATTACTATTGTTACTTCTATTCTTACCATTTTAACTGCCGGTGCACAGGTGCAAGTGAGGTGCATGCATTTGCCCCCCAGCCCATGACTAGTCAAGAAAGTTTCCAAGAATTTGTTGTAGGCCCTTCGTACCAACAACACTAGATTTTTGTATCTCATGCCGTAGTGCAGTAGTTGTGTCTCATGCCATCGTGCAGTAGTTATATAGGATTGTAGCTTTGTACAGTTTATTTTCTGAAAAAGAAAGCTCTAACATTACCTTTTCCTTCCTGGAGTTGTCTTTGCGTGTAAAACAAGGGTTTGCTGTCCGCCATAGTTTGCTGCTGAGCTGTCACCACGTCAAGCAGGTGACGAGCCCAAGCCTGTTACTGCTCTTCTTCGTTTGAGTGTACGTTCAGGGTGAGGCAAGGTGATGGCAATATGGCTGGAGGCCAAAGTATTGATGACCTCCGCTACGAGGGTCATATTCTTTGCGGAAACTCTGGAGGAGGTTCGGGACGGCTCAGTTGACGAGCCACGAGTCGAGCTGGGAGTAGTTCCAGCTCATGCTCTAGTAGCTGGACCGCCGCCGCAGTATTCTGAAGGCGACCGTGAAGGCACAACTGGAAGGATCAACGACGGTTATGACACTGGCTACAGCAATATCCGCCATAGTTGTATGACTGGCGATGGTCCCCTGATCAGAGAGAGTTAGCTGTGGTTTGGGGGTGTATTGTGGCAGTGTGAGTGTCGGTGATCGACCCCTGGTCAGGGAAAGCTACCCACTTTACGAACGAGCGCCAACGGGTTTCAGTTGCAGGCAGTCTGGAATGACAAACTCTGAAGGGGACGCCCGGATGCGATTGTCTGCGACAGGCGACAGGTTACAGTCAACTGAGTCAACTGGAAAGTGGTCACATGCAGTCCTCGAGGGCTCAGGTCCCGGTACCTAGTGGTGTTGCGCAAGCTGCTGGCAGTGGTACTGGACTGGTTATGATGAGGAGTACGTAGCTCTTCTGCAACAATTGTTGGAAGTTGAAGGTGGTCGGGCTGCTCTTAATTACGTAGTGAGTCCTTATGACTCAAAGCAGCATTATGGTACGGGGTGCAGTGGTTTTGCACCAGCCCCTAATCAAGCCAGCGTAAGACCTATGGTTGGTCAGGCTTGTAGGACAAGTGCTGCGCCTTTGAGCGGCGTTAAT